CCCCGGGGCCTGTGGTTTGGGGCTGGGGGGGGGGGGGGCGTTTTACTGCGTGATAAATATAAGCAGCACGGCACAGGGTTTATACCTATATTTATCCAGAAATGGGTAAATATTAATTCTGCTGTTTAAAACATAAAGAAACAGTGTAGGAGAGTGTTATTATGTGCAAAAGTGAGAAACTCTATATTTGTGCAGTGTTCGCATGTCAAAAACATGCGATTTGAAGCTTGTGACATATAAACGTGCACAACCCGATCACTTTATCTAGCGTTCATGTAAATACGACATTCAGATTCATGAATCACAATGAATTCAGTCCGATTGAAACAAAAATTGTGCATGTAAACATAGCCACTGTCTGATTGTTTCTGGAGGCTCTGGTCCGTCAGTGAAGGTTTGGAGGACGGGTCAGAGGTCAGCTGAGAACAATTATTCCTCACTAAACCTCCGTGACTGATGTGTGTTTGTGTCGTGATGTTCTGAATGTTAGTAACGGCCGTCAGCTGAGCGAGGTGTTCATCCAGCTGCCGTCACGCAAGGAGCTGCCCGAGTACTACGAGCTGATCCGTAAACCTGTGGACTTCAGGAAGATCAAGGTGAGTGAGTGGATCGTGAACACAGTCCGCGTCTGTGAGCTCAGGCTTCATGCTGCTGTCGTCTGTGTGTGAGCAGGAGCGCATCCGGAGCCATCGATACCGCAGCCTCAACGATTTGGAGCGAGACGTGATGCTGCTGTGCCAGAACGCTCAGACCTTCAACCTGGAGGGATCCCTGGTTAGAGAGAGACACACACACACACACACACAAAACTCCTCAAACTCACACTGGAAACACTATTCTACAGATGTATGTACTCTTTTGTGTGTGTGTGTGTGTGTGTGTGTCAGATCTATGAGGACTCTATCGTGCTGCAGTCGGTGTTCAGCAGCCTGCGTCAGAAGATTGAGCGAGAGGAGGAGAGTGACGGAGAAGAGAGTGAGGAAGATGAAGAGGACGAAGGCTCTGATTCAGAGAGTCAGTCAAATAAATGCAAAAATGCATGACAATGTGTGAATAACTGTTAGCTGGACGCCACCTGTAGAGAGGAACTGCTGACCGTGTGTGTGTGTGTGTGTGTGTGTGTGTGTGTGTGTGTGCAGCTCGATCCGTGAAGGTGAAGATTAAACTGAGCCGCAAGGACAGAAGCACAGAGCGCGGCAGAGGACGCAGGAGAACTGCGAGAACACGAGCGAAACCTGTCGTTAGTGACGACGACACAGATGAGGATCAGGAGGAGGTGACACACACACACGCACACATACATGCATACACACACACACACACACACACACTCTCTCACACACATACACACACACACTAACATACAATCACACACAGACACTTATAATTGCACACACACAAAATATTGAGTCACATCAAACGATGTTAATGATGCGCAATTGTGCGTGTTGTTTACATCATGTGTGCATACGTGTGCGTGCGTGTGTGTGTGACTCTCGTGTTTTCAGGATCAATCAAACAGCGCCAGTGAGGAAGAGCAGGGATGAAGATCCACAGCAAACCACTAAAGATACAAACACACCATACAGTAGAAGAACACGATCATCCCTTCATCAGCACCCAGAATAACCGTGCATCACACGTTCATCATTCGCTCGTGGAGAACTGTACCGAGAGTCTTCAGACCCGGACGAGATGCTGTTTAGAGCTCGTCATGTTTCTGTGACACTGAATATTAGACGTTGCTGTTTTAGAAGGGCAACATTTGTGACCGTATGTCAAATGATCTAGTTTAACCCCAGTAACCTGTCAGGTAATTGCATTAGTGTGTCATTAGCAGAACATTAGCATGTACAGTAGATGTAATAGCTTAGAAGCAGCCTGTTATTATATGCTTGTATGATCGTTGTTTTGCTGTACAACAGTGTGTGTTTTTAACTCAAAGCGTTGCAGTCTGTCAGTCTTATAATGGAAGTGGATGGGAATCACGGCTTTGAGAGTCAAAAAACATACACAAACAAAACCAAATTAAACCCTGCGGCTCGTGACGATACATTGATGTGTAAAGACACGAAACGATCAGATTGACATTCATTTTTAACAGGAGATTGTAGATAGAGTGTCAATGGTCCATTTTAGAGATAGGTGGCGGTAATGCACTTATAAATCTGCGATCCGCTGTAAAGCAAAAAGAACACGCTCAGGACGGTTCGGACATTGCGTGCATCAGAGGTAAGAAACAATATAAATACTGTTCAGTTTCTTGCACAGACCGATCGTTTCGTGTCTTTACACATCAGTGTACCGTCACGAGCCGCAGGGTTTAATTTGGTTTTGTTTGTGTATGTTTTTTTTTTTTACTCTCAAAGCCGTAATTCCATTCACTTCCATTATACGACTGACAGACTGCAACGCTTTGAGTTAAAAATCTCAGTTTGTGTTCTACTGAAGAAACAAAGTCACCTACATCTTGGATGCCCCGGGGGTAAGCAGATACACATCACATTTTAATTTTTGGCTGAACTATCCCTTTAAGGCCGTTCTCACACTGACCTGATGTTCACACTTACATGAACTTGAGTGAAAGGGTTTGGAGGGTTCTTGCAGACAGAAGCGCTCTGAAACATCATGTAAATGTGAACTCACACCGGATCTGAGCTGGATCACATGCTCGTGTAAACACAAACGCGTTCTTATCCCTCATTAACTCGAGTAACGGGCAGATGCTGACCAGATCGTGTGAACGGCCCGTTTGCGTAGATTCATGTTTTGTTTGAGCGTTTCTGTTTATTGATGTTAAAGCAGGGTTTATTCTCTGCTCTGGCCCTGCAGAGTTCAGCTTGGAGCCTCGTCAAACTCACCTGAACAAACTAATCAAGGTCTGCAGGACTACAAGAGAGTTACAGTGAGGTGTGTTTGATCAGAGCTGGAGCTGAGCTCTGCAGGAGCCTCTATATCTATAACTCTGTAACTCTGTTTCTGATCTGCTCTGTTACTGTATGAATCATATTATTGCTGAAGTTTCTAGCGGCTCTTTAATGGCATGTGCTCTTACTGTAGTGGATATGTTTGTGTGTGGATGAAACCCAATAAACATCACCACCTCATGTCTGTGTTTGTAGTTGTCCATGCTGTTTTCTCTGATATACAGTATGAAACGCTCAATGTCTGACCTAATGTGGGTGATGTGGTCTGGGCTGGTTCTCAGGTGGTTTTCCAGCTGATCCTGAAGGTGTGGGTTTTGTGTAAGCCAGCCAGACTCAATAAATCAGTTCTCTTACGAAAATGAACCATGGTTTTATTGTAGTAGAAGTGACGTAACCATGTTTTTTATTATTACTAATTACCATTTCTATAACCACAGTTTTACTACAAATAGCAATTTTTAAACTATGGCTATTGTAGTAAAACCATGGTTAATTTCTGTAAGGGTTCTCGGTTCGTCTGACGCTGGAACCGAGAACAAACCTCCACAAACTTATTAAACTCTGAAGCACCAAAACCTCTAGAATAACACTGTATGTTTAGAATTAAATTAGGACCTTACAGGAATGACTGAAACAGACAAACACACACACAGTGTGTACTGTACAAACATTTGGAGTGTATCTGCCAGACTGGTGGTGATGTGTAATATGGCACAGTAACCACTAGGTGGCAGTCATGAACGGTTTTAGCGAGTTCACTGCAGATTTCGAGGAAAAGTGGGAATGTTTGGAGTCTGATTGTTTACATCTGAAACAAACAGTGGATGTGATGATCATGTTGCTCTCACAACAACACTGAAGAGAAACACTTCTCAAATCTGTTTTGTTGCCAAATGAAGTTAATATCACTGCTGCAGCTCATGTCACTGAAGGGATGAAGATGATGATGAAGATGAGTCTCTGTATCTCCACATCTAAACACAGAAGGACGTCAAACGCATTGGCTCATTTTCACCAAACTCTTGTCTATTAAGCACAAACACGTTGAGTGTGATTTAAACTGATTCTCAGTGTTTTTGACTCGTCGTGTAACGTAAGACGTGATCGTGGAAGAGCAGTGTATCTGATATACAGTTCTGAGCCCCCGGCTCTTAATGCATCGTATTCCTTCTTGAGTGAATGCTTCCATCTTTTATAATAGCTGTGTTTGAGTCCCTCAATTGTGCTCCGTGTGAAAAGATGGATCTCGAGATCATACGCTCTGTTGGAAAGGGGTCAAACACACAAAACATAAAACAGCTGCGGATCATCAGGTAACGACACACGGTATTACGATTATATGTGAACAGTTTTCAGATCATTTTTATAAATTCAGCTATTATTTTGTATTGGGGTATATATACACATAAGGGTCAATTTTTTTAAATTGAGAATTTTTGAAGCTGAATAAATAGGGTTAGGGTTACTTTCCATTGATGTATGGTTTGTTAGGATCGGACAATATTTGGCTGAGATACAACTATTAGAAAATCTGGAATCTGAGGGTGCAAAAAACTCTAAATATTGAGAAAATCATCTTTAAAGTTGTCCAAATGAAGTTCTTAGCAATGCATATTACTAATCAAACATTAAGTTTTTATATATTTACGGTAGGACATTTACAAAATATCTTCATGGAACATGATCTTTACTTAATATTCTAATGATTTTTGGCATAAAAGAGAAATGTATCATTTTGACCCATACAATGTACAATGTGTAATAGCTTATTGAGGACAGTTCTAAATCAAATAAAAAAAATAACAAGCCATTTTGGTGATCTCTATTATGTTGTTAAAATTATTATAATTCCGCAAGGGGTTTGTAAAGCTATGAGTGGAGCTGCATTGGTCTTCAGGATCTTCATGAGTCTTGTTTGTGAACACTGGGGTCAAGCTGAAGTGACCCTCACGGGTTCCTGTTGAACTAGAGAAGTTTCTGCTCTAATCATTAACAAACGCTCTTTGTGAGGGGAGATCTTCTGAGGCCAGGTTTCGCTCATTCCTGATCTCATCCAACAGACATTTCAGCCTTCCTCTCATAGTTCAGCGTCTGTCTGACCCTCATCACATTCATATTTAATGAGGTGCAATGATTGTTTTTAACTTTCAGGATATCACATTTGCAAGCTTTAGATATGCATAATAACACAGGCATGTCTGAGCTCTGATATCCAGCGAGTACCTTCATCTGTCAGTGGAGGCCCGTGGAAACATCAGTTCCCTGCATCTACACACACCATGCAGACCCTGTTCCCTCCGCTTGAGCCGGAGTGTGTTTGTGTCTGTGACACCGTTTCAGTTTTAGATTCTAGGATTTCATGCTTTACTGATGACATTATAAACAGCAGGTGATTTGTGAAGGCTTTATATTCTATGCAATATGATTCAGAAACATTTTTGTAAAGTGCAATCAGTATTTAGCTCTTATTTTGAAGGAACAGGTACATTCTGAGTATTTGTCCGGTGGTTTCACAGTAAGGAGTCGTTTTGGCCCCTGAGGGACCAATTCATGGACTCGGGGGTTTCAGGAGCCATTCGGTCTCCTGCATTTATATACAGTCTCGTCGAGTAAACGTGCTCCCTGATTGGCCGCTGCTGAAGCACACGCGCGCTGCTGTCGCTGATTGGTCGGACGCGCTAATCAGCTACTTGAAATTCTGCTTCTGATTGGTGGGTTTTCGGCAGGTGGCGGTCAGGTGTGATCAGAGGTTGATGTAGGTATGTAGGTCATCAGCTCTGAGGGGGGTTGTTGTGGACACCTCCATCGGTCACTGTTAGTCTGTCAGTAAAACACACACGCTGAGATTGAAGAGAAATCAAAGCTGTTTATATTCAGAGACTGATGGATTGCTGGATGGAGTGTCTGGACTCACTGCTGAGAGATATTGAGAAACACAGAGACACTTCACAGAAGAGAGAGAGAGAGAGAGAGAGTATATTTACCTGTCTGTTTGTATAATATATTTACTGCTTTGGCAACATTGTGATATACAGTGGGGAAAAAAAGTATTTAGTCAGCCACCAATTGTGCAAGTTCTCCCACTTAAAAAGATGAGAGAGGCCTGTAATTTTCATCATAGGTATACCTCAACTATGAGAGACAAAATGAGAAAAAAAAAATCCAGAAAATCACATTGTAGGATTTTTAAAGAATTTATTTGCAAATTATGGTGGAAAATAAGTATTTGGTCAATAACAAAATTTCATCTCAATTTGGTCTTTGCCATGGTGGAGTTTTTGGAGTGTGACTGTTTGAGGTTGTGGACCGGTGTCTTTTATACTGATAACGAGTTCAAACAGATGCCATTAATACAGGTCACGAGTGGAGGACAGAGGAGCCTCTTAAAGAAGAAGTTACAGGTCTGTGAGAGCCAGAAATCTTGCTTGTTTGTAGGTGACCAAATACTTATTTTACCGAGGAATTTACCAATTAATTCTTTAAAAATCCTACAATGTGATTTTCTGGATTTTTTTCCCTCATTTTGTCTCTCATAGTTGAGGTATACCTATGATGAAAATTACAGGCCTCTCTCATCTTTTTAAGTGGGAGAACTTGCACAATTGGTGGCTGACTAAATACTTTTTTGCCCCACCGTATGTTACACAGCCATGCCAATAAAGCTCATTTGAATTGAATTGAATTGAACTGAGAGCGAGATCTGGTCTGTATCTGTTTTAAGGAGTGAAACTCTCTCTTTCTCTCACACACACACACACACTCACTCTCACACACACACACACACACTCTCACGCACGCACGCACTCACACTCTCACACACACGCATGCACACTCTCACTCACACACACACACACTCACACACACACACTCACTCGCACCCACACACACTCACTGTTTGATTTACTCACATATTCAGATATTTTATGTAAATGTTAATAAATTAAGAGCACAGTATTTCGTCGAGTGACTGAAACACACGTGATTCGTTCTGATGAGGACTCGATACAAAGTTACTGATGGATTTGACTGGAACAGAAGAGTCA